ATATTAAAGTGAATGGTTTCTTTTTGCGCAGTCATCTTTGTGGTATTGCGGGTTGTCAGAAAGGTCACTTCAACATTTTGAGGATCAGTCATTTTGATTATCATGCCAATTGTCCCACTGCAAATTACATGATCAATCAACTTGTTGTTGAGGAACATCACTTTTGCACCTTTTTGAAGAATGGCATGCTTGGGGAGGTTTATATAACGGTTGAAGTGAAAATCTTCACTTTGATTCTGATTGAGGATGTTGAGATGATTTTTTACAAATCAGTTGGTTAAATTAACTCTTTTAAGTTTGACCTTGCATTTTTGCATTCTATTTAGATTCGATAGGTACTAAACACTATATCAAGCACGAAATCAGTATCCTTTGATTGATAAAACCTCATCTAATGGTGTTAATTGCATTCTTAGTTTACGAAATAACCAATTGTCACCTTCTAAGAGGCTTTGTTACTTCTAGGAAACCATATACAAACATTTTTTGGAATTACGTATATTGTGATTACACTAACTATACTGATTGAATAATTGTAGTATATATACTCACGTGTGGACATGGTTATTACAATAATTGTCTACAAAGGTGCCAATCTAAATGTTTGATATCTTCAAGTCGAAATCAAAAAAAATGTCAACGCACTAAAAGAAAAGTATGATGAAAAGATTAAACGAAAATGAAAATATCGAAAATAACGAAAATACAGTTGATGATGATCCGGGTAACGTTAAATCAGCAATAGATGATGCAACAATGGAACATGCAAAAAATACATTTTTTGGGTTGTAGATTTTGTTTTTATTAAAACAAATTCGTATACATCATTCATGTTTTGTCTTAATCGTATATCTTAAATATTGGTTGTGTTTACAATCATTTCGTCGACATTCATTATATTGATTATATCAAGAAATATGGTCAAGAGAAGAGTTAGGAAGAGAGTTATCCTTCAACCAAGTCGAAAACCAACCCTTTAAATACATTTTCGAGTAGTACGATTTAATTTATTAGACTATTTCCGCATAAGCCAGCTCGCAAGCCAGCTCATTAGGAGCTTTACTATTTTAAAGGTTTGTCACATATCAATATAAGTTTGAAACTAATCAAATACAATAATTGACTATCATCCTGTTTATTGTCAAATTATTATTGTCATTCTCTCATCAATATAGTGCTCGCCATCTTTATTGATGTCATATATATATAATAATCATTCTCAATTAATGTCACAAAGGTATAAGATACGGTCAATCCATGATGAATAATCTGGCTGTTGATTTAAAACATTATTAAATTGATATTTTTTCCCATTGTCATCATTATTAATTTGCCCAGAACCAATGTCTAAGTTTACACCTTGATTATTATTGTTATTATTGTCACTAATTTTTTGAAACTCATCTAAATCTTCACTATCATTAAATGTATCATCATCATTATTGTTATCACTTTGTTCTAATCCTAATTTTGTTGATAAAATTGTCTCAGTGATGCTATTATTAATTTTTTCAAAAATGCATACCAATCCTTTAATTGAATCTTTACTACAAGCTTCATATGGACCAGAATATTCGTAATTAATATCATTATTAATTGTAAGCACTCCCCTAAACAAGTACCTGAAAAGAATACATCATCACCAAATAGAAATACAAAAAAGAATTTTGAAGAAAACACATTATTTTATTTAAATTTACCAAACTGATCCATTTGATAGCAAAACATATACCTCCTGATATCAAAATAATTTATTATTAAAATTTACAAGCTTAAAGGCATGCAATTATCTTTTTTGTGACAACGAACCCCTTAACATTCTTCAAAAAAGAAAAAATGGAAGCTTTGCTAACTTTCTCATAATGTCTGACCTTCACAACTACACTTAATGTTTATGCTCCAAACAATCATCACAAGGAGTGAATTTTTTGGTATATATACCTCATTTATTGAAATGAGAACATATTACTCATTCACTATTTGTACAAATTTCATTTTTTTTACCCATCCACACACGCACACATATACATATATGACTCACAATATCAATAGAGCTTTAGATTCTCAAAATTTGTTATCATCCTTCTACTGTATTAACGAATATTTTGTGTGGCTGATTGTGTAAATCTGAGAGGAAGAAAATGCCAACATTCAAAAGACTACTTCGGGAAACAGTTCTTATCTTGTTGATTAATTCCAGATAAATTTTCCGATATCATTGCTACTCTAAACGAAAAAATAGCAAAAGAAAAAGATTTTTGAGAAAATAACCTAATTTCTTTATCGTTGTATTTATCAACAAAAAAGATTGAAGACATTTTTTGTCTAGTATTGCTCCCAGATTTACAAAAAAAAAATAACTTTATTTATCAAACTTATTAAAACTAAACAATAATAATGATACTAATAATGTTTATTGTTATTGCTATTATTCGTGTTTCCATTGTGGTAGACGTTTCTTGAGGAATGCCTCCATACCTTCAAACTTATCTTTCTATTAAATTTAAAATCATAAATTATTAAAAATCTCATCGTTAAAAGTCACGCGAGGAAAATAAAAAATTAAAATCATTCATACCAATGCAAAAAGAGTTTGGAACAATCTTCTTTCAAAATGATTTCCTTCTTTTAACGATAATTCAAATGCTTTAAAGAAAAAAGCCCCCCATAAATTTCAATATTAATATATATTTAAACATATTATTAGAAGTTTACACATTAGCATATATAATAAATAAGCACTAACATTTATTAATGGACTCTTTAGCAGCTTGGGTGACTGGCTGTGAAAATCCAGCAATTTCTTGACCAAGTTTAATTGATTCATCAAGTAATTTATCCACCGGGAATATCTTACTTACAAGTCCCCATTGTTCTGCTTCTTGAGCTGTAAAATTTTTACCCGTAAGAATTATTTCCATTGCTTTTGATTTACCAATCGCTCTTGTAAGTCTTTGAGTTCCACCAGCACCTAAACAAAAAAAATTATTTTTTTATCAAGTGAATGTATAAAAGCTGTGCGTATATGTAAATAAATACAATAAAATGATAATTACCTGGTATTACACCTAATTTAATTTCAGGTTGACCAAATATAGCCTTTTCACCTGCATAAATTATATCACAACTCATTGCTAATTCACATCCACCGCCCAACTACATATATAAATTCAATAAAAAATAAAATTAATTTAGTAAATAAAATATTTTATCCTCTCCTTCTCCTTCAACAGATATATATTTACAGCATAACCATTAACAGCAGCAATAATTGGCTTTTTTATTTCATTAATTTTCCCCCAATGCCAAAGAAAATTTGTCTTATAAACTTCTGCAAAAGTTTTATCTGCCATTTCTTGAATGTCTGCTCCAGCTATATATAACGATGGTTAAAATATATACATATATTATTTTTGTTGGTATCATAGTCTTCTTCATAATAATGAATAACGAGTGATTTACCAGCAAAAGCCTTTTCACTTCCAGTAATTACAATTGCTCTAATTTCCGGGTCACTATCATACTTTTCCAATGCATCATTAACATCATTAAATAAATCACTTGATAAAGCATTCAATTGCCTTGGCCGATTCAATGTAATCAATCCAACTGTTCCATGACTTTCTGTTAATATATTATGGTAATGATGAATTGAATCTCCTGATCTACCTATCATATTATTATATTTATTAATAATAATATAATCGTATATGTATATATATGTATGTATGTATGTATTTTTAATGTAAAGTAAATAAAAATTGGATTTTTCACCAAAAGAATTATTTATTAATCTTTTATTTAATGAGCGTAAAACCAAAGAAAACATTTCTTTTTCCTTCAATTAATTTTTTATTTAGTTTTTGAATTTATTTATACCAACAATCTACAATCTGCACACTTTACAAAAATTAAATTTAACTATAAATAAGATTAAAATAATTAAATAAAAAAATCTTAACTGAATCAGCATAATCAACATCCAAAGTTTTCAATTATATATATTCATAACCATTCATATACACATATACACATATACACATACACATATTCAAAATAAACAATTGAATTAATAATTACCCGGAAGCAGCAAAATCTGAAATTTAGTATTATCCAATCCATTAATCCGCTAACCTAGAAATCTATTAACCAAGAAAACCAACACCTTTCCGAAACTTAGTATTAGCCAATCTGGTAATCCGCTAATCCAGAAATCCAGTAACCAAGAAAACCGGTACAGGAACAGGAACGCTGGTACTCTGGAACGCTGGTACGAGAGTTCCAGAGTCCCAGGGTACCAGAGTCCCAGGGTACCAGTGTTCCAGGGTACCAGTGTCCCAGGGTACCAGTGTTCCAGGGTACCAGTGTCCAGAGCACCTGAGTTCCTGAGTATGAGCGTTTCAATGTTCCAATGTACCAATGGTACTAGCGTTCTTGTACCTGAGTTCCTGAGTCCCAGAGTCGAGAGTACGAGCGTTCCAGAGTACGAGAGTTCCAGAGTACGAGAGTTCCAGAGTACGAGAGTTCCAGAGTACGAGCGTTCCAGAGTTCCAGAGTACCAGCGTTCCAGAGTACCAGCGTTCCTGTTCCTGTACCGGTTTTCTTGGTTACTGGATTTCTGGATTAGCGGATTACCAGATTGGCTAATACTAAGTTTCGGAAAGGTGTTGGTTTTCTTGGTTAATAGATTTCTAGGTTAGCGGATTAATGGATTGGATAATACTAAATTTCAGATTTTGCTGCTTCCGGGTAATTATTAATTCAATTGTTTATTTTGAATATGTGTATGTGTATATGTGTATATGTGTATATGAATGGTTATGAATATATATAATTGAAAACTTTGGATGTTGATTATGCTGATTCAGTTAAGATTTTTTTATTTAATTATTTTAATCTTATTTATAGTTAAATTTAATTTTTGTAAAGTGTGCAGATTGTAGATTGTTGGTATAAATAAATTCAAAAACTAAATAAAAAATTAATTGAAGGAAAAAGAAATGTTTTCTTTGGTTTTACGCTCATTAAATAAAAGATTAATAAATAATTCTTTTGGTGAAAAATCCAATTTTTATTTACTTTACATTAAAAATACATACATACATACATATATATACATATACGATTATATTATTATTAATAAATATAATAATATGATAGGTAGATCAGGAGATTCAATTCATCATTACCATAATATATTAACAGAAAGTCATGGAACAGTTGGATTGATTACATTGAATCGGCCAAGGCAATTGAATGCTTTATCAAGTGATTTATTTAATGATGTTAATGATGCATTGGAAAAGTATGATAGTGACCCGGGAAATTAGAGCAATTGTAATTACTGGAAGTGAAAAGGCTTTTGCTGGTAAATACTATCTTTAATCTTTAGAAGATAATATATTCATTATATTATTTTAAAATTAGACAGCAAATTATTTCTCTTTCTGGGTTCTTTGTGGTTCTGTGTTAATGTTCTTTTCTTAGTGTTTATTATTTTTCTTTCTTGGTAAATTTCATAGGTAATCCATTCTTTATCTTCGCAAGGATTTAGTATCTGCTAATTTCACCTTGTTCCTTCTTCAAAATACTTTTGATGGTACTATAATTCTTTGGTTCCATGGTAGATGAGTTTCATATTAATTAATAATTTTTGCCTAGACAAATATCGTGATCACATTACATTAGTAATTCAATTGAATACAATTATGATGTTAAAAACAATATTGATCCCTGAAATACCAATGTTCACTTTGTCTGGTTTTGTTGCAGCATGCCCCATATATATTATCGTACTTGGTTGCTTTAAGTTGTGTACTTTTAATCAATTTATCTAATGTTTCATTGCCACTAGTCTATTCTTCAGTCAATAGCTTTGGATCACCATGAATACCAAGTATTATATCTATTGCAAGTTGGACATTTCATTTCTTTCCTTGAATCATCATCATCATTTTTGTCGGTAAAGGTATCATGATGATGTTTATTTTCATCCAAAGTGTTTTCCATCTCTAAAATTATTGTATAATCAATTTGGTAGACAATTATAGAAAAAAAATTTTCCTTTGTTAATTATTTGGTAAAGAATAATGATATTCTAAGTATTTTCTGCTATGTAAAATCAATTAAGTTTTTAATTTGAAATAGAAGAATTTCAAAAAATTTTTAATCCTGGCTAATTTTCAAAAGAATGAAAAAAATTGTGTCACTAATTGCAAGAAGGTATAATTTTATTTTTATATTAAGATAATTTTTACAAAAGTTCAGCTTTACGTGATCATGTGAATTTATACAATTACAAGGATGCAATTAAACTTGAGAAATACCCAATTAATAATGATGTGAAAAAGTGAAAATTCTATTTCTATAGAGAAATTACATTCTTAATAATTAAGTTAATTAGTATTTCACGAGCCAATTTTTATTTTGTTATTTTGGTACAAAAGCAACAACAATTAATATTATACATTATATGTAAAATAAAATTTTTATAATTCCATTCTACGAGATTGATTATTATCATTATCATCATTATCATCGTTGTCGTTGTTATCATCATTATTTTGTGAAGTTGAAAGACATCCTGGACAATTATGAATAACTTCGTGTATAAAAACATCACAATCAATACAAAAGCTTTGATTACACTTTGGACATTTATATCTACCACTAGATGCTTCTAATTGTGAAATAGGTATTATTGATGGTTGAGCAGTAAATTTTACTTGACATGAGAAACAATTAGGTGCTATATCACTAATTAAAATAAGTTGATTGTTAGAAAATTATTAAAAAAAAAAATATAATAAAATAATAATTACTATTATTGTTATTATTATCATTATTACTAATTTAGATAACTAACCCACTCCATGGAACTTCAACATAATTTTCTACCGGAAATAAGTGGTGATAAGATCTTGCCAAATGTGGACTTGACACTAGTGTTAGTTCACATATAGGGCAATCTGTTGGTAAATCACAAACCTTTGAATCACATCTAGAACATGTATATCCTTTAGTTGTAAGTTTTTGATGGCTAAAAAAAGGGGAAATTTTTTAATTTAATTCAAATATATATATATATTATTCTTTTTTATTGTTGTTATCATTATTATTAATATTAACATATATACCAAGCACAAAAGGAAGGTTTTGATCCATTAACACTGCTTGGAAATCCCATCATAACAAGTTCAGATTTATTTTGAGCATTAGAAACTGGCGGAGGTGGTATAATTTCGAAAAGCAGATCTCTAAAATGTGCCTCGTGCAGTACAATACCATAAGTTCCTATAAAATTCCCACAATAAAATTAAAAGCAATCGAAATATCAGATAATTAGTGAATAAGTAAGGTTAACAACCAGATATAATAATTGAAAAAAATTTTAATAATTACATTTTACCTTTAGTCTTTTTGCACATGAGTTTACATATTTGTACTTCAGCTGCCAATCCTACTATTGAAACATGAATATTTTCTTTGATAAGATTTTCAATTGTAATGTTAATATCACCAGGATCACAAGTTGTTAAAGAGCCCATTATAATCAAGATTTCGCGTGATCCATGAGATGGAACATGTCTAAAATTAATAATAATTATAAATAGATTAGAAATCGTTGTCAATACTGCTATGCAAAATAAATAAATAAATATATATGTATTTCTACATTAGTGATGAACGTGCTAATTCCAAAGCATTTTGTAAAGAAGGTTCACCATCGGTATCAGTATTCTTTTTATTTTTTAATGCACGAATATGATCCATCGGATTTCCTTTTTATCATTATTATTATTATTATAAAAAAATTTCAAAGTATTTAAATAAATCTAAATAATGAATTTAAAAAAAAATTATATATATATTTTTTTAATCATTACAAATCAAGAGGTTTTTGTCTGTTTGTTACCAGACAAAGATGTAATTTTTTCTGCGACACCAGTTTTAGTAACAATTATTCCTAGTTGGCTGATTGGATTTTGATCAAAATATTCCAAAATAAATTGTTCTGTATATGAAAGCGTCAATTCCAATCTAGAAGGTCGCAAGTCTTTTTCCGCCATGGCTTCAGAAAGATCTAATATCAAAAACAAATGTCGTATAATCCCTCGCCGTATTGTTGCAGTATCACGTAATAATCTTTTGTTTCAAATAAAACAACATTGGTTAAAATATAATGTTTAGATCATTAAATTTCAAAAAGCAATTTTTACCTTTTACGTTTCAATAGATTCTGTAGAGATTCTACTGTACGTTTCAAACTACCATCTTCATCTTCTTGAATAACATCCCAACTACGTCTATACTCCTCTTCCCAAGAGTACCCTCCTCCCGCTCGTGTAATGTTTAAAGCCTCATCATCAACATCTATAAGATCTTCTTTTGACTTGGCCATATTTTTTTTTTTAAAAAAGGAAAATATTGTAGATCATGACGTCACTGATAATATAACAAAAAAAAAGGGATGCAATACGAGATGTTAATATTAATGTTTAAAATAAGTGCCAATTCTATATAAGCAAAATTGCCAATTCTCTGGAAAACACTTGATAAAAAGTCAAAAAACAACCCAAACAAGGAATCGTTTGATATTATATATTTGTTTTATCAGTATCGAGTTTTCGGTTTTATTCATTTACGAGATCTTGTTTTTTAATATTCGACACTTCACACAGCCCTGGCCGATTCAATCGGGGATGAATTTTATTTCGAATTATTGACAAATCGATTATCAATACGTGATGGTAATAATATATATATCAATATAAAATTCTAGATTTTCTTATCTTTATCATCATTATTGTCATCTTCATATTTTTAAACCTGTATGTTATGCGATATAAATTGTTCCATGACTTTCACACATTCACCTGATTCCAATAATTTCTCGCCGTTAACTTGCAATTTTATTTGACTGAGGAGATTTCAATTTATTGATTGATTTTTGTGACGATTGCTTTATTAAGTTGTTCAAAATTTCGTGATTTTTACTATTAATAATATATATTTATCATATTTTATCATATTTTATTGGCAAAATCATTAAAAGTATCTGACAATCAATAAATAACAAACTTTGGCCCGAGAATAAGTTTCGGCCTTATTTAGTCTGATTCATTCGATTTATTTCGCAATCCCAACCCCAACTCAAAAAAACAACTCTATATTAATGGAAAACTCGAGTATCTTTTTGTTGAAAAACATCTGAAGCCATCAATTGTTTATGTAACAATACAATATGTGGATATAACGCTGTCAGGGATTGTCAAATCAATAGTTTAAACAATATTCTAAATAAAAACGTTTTGAAAGTATATTCATTCAAAGTTAATTGGGATTATGCAATTATAAAAAAATTCACAGAAATATTGAATAAAATTAGGAATTCAATTATTAGAATAGAATATAAATAACTAACAGGTACAAAATTACTGGGCCAGAAACGATGTTAATAGTTATTGATGATAACGGCGACGAGTTCCAAGAAATTCTTGCGTTTTTCCAAATAGAATACAAATTATTCTATTGTCATAATTCGTCAATTTGGCGCAGTCGGTGACGACACAATGTCTTTGCGAGTGGCCGATTGTTCCTTGCCGGAGTAATATGCAAGCACAATGGTTCCATTGTCAATAAAAATAGATTTTTTAAAAGTTTCTTTTACCTTCTTTCGAGCATTCGATCAATTAAATAACAATAATATAATAAAATCATTAAAAATATATTTTTTTAACGGGTTTTTTTATTTTACAATAAAATTTTAAAAATTTTTTTTTAAAATTACGGAATTAAATATTAAATATTAAATATTTACAAGAATCGAGTATCAAGTATTAAATAAAGTATTAAGTATTAAAAAAAAATTAAATTAAATTAAAAATTAGAGATTAGATTAGAGAGAGGTTAAGGTTACTTTTTTTTTTTTTTTAAAAAAAATATTAAAAAAATAAATAAATAAGTGTTTTTTTTTTTTTTTTGAGAGAAATATATTTTCCTTCCAATAAATTAAATATAGATGATGATTTCATCCAAAGGTTATTTATGTTACAATTTAATTTTGCCGAGAGAATTTTTTCTTTTATGTTGTGTTTTTCTTTTTTCAAGTTTGAATTGCTTAATTTTATCAAAAATGTCAAGAGCTTCTTTCAACAAATTCTTTTGAAGAGAGTTAATGATATTGTCACCATTGCGGTTCTTTAGATTCTCGTATTCCAAATTAGCACTATTGATTATCTCGTCGAGTCGTTGTTCTTCTTCTTGTTCATTTCCATTGCCATTGTCACTTTCATTGATCAAAAAAGCAAAAATAATTAATAATTCTTCGCAAATTTCCATACTTTTTGGCATAGCACCAAATTTCAATTTATATTCATGTGCTGTCGCGCGTAATTTGGATTTGAATTGTTGGACTTCTTGGTGTAAAAGAATTTGAGTGTAAATGTTTGGATTAAATTTTTTTATTATGGACAAATAATTGTTTTTGATGTTGTTCATTATCGATGATGAGGCAGCGTCGAGTTTCTTTTGATCGGTTGTTTTATGTTCGAATTTTTGATGGAAAGCTTTTTTGTTAAATTTGATTTCATCAAGCAAATAATTTGAATATTTTTGATTACAGCAAGTCATTTTTATTTAATTTAATTTTGTGATAATGGTGTATCTTATATAGATAAAGTGGTAGTATTAATAGTAGAAATATTATTATCAAAATAATATTTGAAAAAAATATTTAATATTTGATTTTTTAAATCCTATTGTAAAATAAAAAAAAAACAAAAAAATTTGTTTTATAAAAAGAACTTTTTCTGGAAAAATAATTTTCGAGAGTAAAACGAAAAACGAAAAAATGGCACTTTATATAAACATTTCACAATAATCCATTTATCATCAGTTCATTGTTGTTGTTATTGATTTGTTGTTATAGAATTCAAAAAAAAAAAAAATTCCGGATATGATGTATAGATAGATATGTATAGGTATTAATATGTATGCGTAAATAGTACATTATTAATTGTTGTTAAAATATTATTTGCATTAATATTGTTTTATCATTTCATCGTAGGTTGTACAAGAAGGGAGGAGTTTACAAAAATATAAAAATAAAATATTTATTTGTTGTTACGCGATGCAGAAAAAGTAAATTATTATTTAAACTCTATATAAGTAATTTTAGGGTTAGATTTCTTAACCCTGCGCCAACCTCTATTATTTTTCATGAGGAAAAAACCTACCATTCTCAATTAGTTCAAACTAATCCAACAAAATCCTTATTGAATAAAATATTAGTGCGGTGGATATAATAAAAAGCGCAACGATAAATGGCAAAGAAGAAAACAATCAGGATAATTATCAAAACAAAAATCCAACTACGCAAGAATAAATCGAAAAATCATTATAACTTCATTGAAAGATTCTATTATAAAAAGAATGCAAAGTCAAGAGCAAATCAATATCATGGGATGATTTTTTAACTAGAATCCTAATATTGTTCAAACAATCGCCAAACCAAACAATCATGCACCTTTATTCCTTAATTAGGAAAAATAAATGATATATTAATATAACTCCCCCTATAAAAAAATTCCGTATTTTCCGTACAGAATTTTCTATAGTAATAGGGCCTATACTTTAAAAACCAACTTATTTGTATGTGCTGTGCTGCTATTTTGAGCAGGTTTTGACCCATTTTCCAGTGTAAAACAATATCTTTCTCATCAGATAAATAATGTCTTTCGATAGTTGCATATCAAAAATATCCCAGCGACAGCAATTAGTTAAAGCATCAAAGGCACCATTAACATCCCATTGTAGTCTCAAGTAGATAAATATCGATTATTGTTCGGCGATCAATGATGAAAAAGGTCCATGCTTATCACAATCCTAACATGATATGCAAAGTAAAACCTCACTATAAGCAAGGAAATCCTTGCCTCGTCAAAATCTATGATAAAGGTGCAGTATTTACCAATGGCTTCTTACAAAAGTATTGCTAACCAAGTCATCTGCTATAAAGTTTCTTTTAAAATACTCCAACTTGTGTGTTAAAATGGGCCTTTTCAATAGGACCATGATTTTGAATGATATCATATCCGAATGGATCTGCACAGACGATATAAAAATTAGTATAGTACTATTGTACTCCCAAACAGAACATCAAACATTTTTTTTGATTAGGATGATGTAACTATGACACCCCTATTAATAAAATTGATATAATTGGAATAAATGAATGATGAATGAGAGTTTCTTTTTTCTTTTTTATTTAAACTCTGAGGAAAAAATTTAAACTTTCATATAAAAAAAAACATTAATTTAATCATGGATAAACAAAAGCACGAAGTAGGCAATAGCATCAATAACTCTTTTCCTCAAAGCGGAATTAGTTTAATGCCTGGTATTTATTTATTCATAAACAAATGATTAGATATTATTAGCGTTTAAAAATAGATTGAGATGCCACAAATAAATTAATTGATTGACGAACGAGACAGTTATATCTTTATCTATCTTTTTTTTTATTTGTATGTGCCATCAGGGCCAATAACCTCATTACCACCTGACCAAGAAAAAATATTTAGAGCCGAAGAAGAAAGAAGTAAAAATAAAAAAATTGGTGAAGAGACTGGAACGACCGAAGAGACTGAAATTGATTTATCTGACGGTGGAAAAATCAAAGGTTTTTTTTATCTTATACATCTAATATAATCTTATCTTAAATTAAGTTTCAGGAGAGTTTATTTTTTATTTACGAAACATTTACATTATAAATAGAATATGAACAACCAAGTTATACAAGTGGAACCAAAAACGTAGTAGCTGGATCATTGAAAGTAATAATAATAATAATAATAATAATAATAATAATAATAATAATAATAATAATAAATAAATAATAATAATAATAATAATAATAATAATATTTATTTAATCATTTGTAATTAAATCCTCCCCGTTTGTCCAAATTTTATAGGAGGCAATTGGCATAGCAATGGGCAAAGATCATATTAAAAATTCAGGAAAGGAAGAGAAAAAAGCGGGTGAAGATGAATTGAAAAGAACTAAAGCAGAAGATAATATAGAACAAAAATTTGAGATTCTTGAATAATAATAATTATAATTGCATCATCCAATCTCATAAATTTGAATTTTGTTTAACAAATATTAATAAAACATAATTATTAATCTTGAAAATAATTGGGATAGAGTCAATCCCCGATTGGCCAATTTTTAACATTGTTCCTTTATTTTTTTGTGTTAATTAAATATTTATTATTATAGTATTATATTTATGTTATTTATATTTTTAATTAACAATGCATTTTTTGCATATGGAAATCGTTTTTATGGGGAAAACATTATACATATATTTAAAATATATATTTATAAATAAACCTTTTGTTTCAAGTTTTTTTTTTTCAAAGTAAATCTTAAAAACAATTACATAGCTATTATTTATTATATTTTCAAAAATCAATTATTCATTTTTTTTCAACTTGCAATGCAAAAACAAAAATTATCAAACACTACTAAATTATTCACCACATCGTCATCAAGATCTTCATGTCGCCCATTATTATTACCGCCATCTTCACCACCACCAATAATTCCTCCAAAATCTTCAAGAAGACCTTCATCGGATTCTAATCATTCCGACTCTAGTGAATCTAATCCAAATACAATAATATCACATATAGTATCTACAAAATTAAAATGCGTACTGCAATGTTTGCTAGATTGTCAACAAGCAATGTCGGAAAAGAAGTCACCGAAAGTGATTAGGATTTACGTTAAAAATTTCATTGAACAATTCGAGCAATTCGAATTGTTCATCACAGAAAATAATAAATCACGAATAATTAATTTGTCATCGGATGATAAAAAATTATACCATGAAATTGGATTCTTTCGTAATATTTTTATAAACCTTCTTAAAAAACAATATTTACCTGGTTTTGGAGAAAACGAAGATGATGAAGATGATAAAGATGATGAATTAGATGTTGGGAAAGGAGAATATGGTGATGAATATGAATACGAATATGAAGATGAAGATGAAGATATTAGTGATATCAGTGATTATTATTATTACGGTGATAATGATAGTAATAACGATGGCGATAATAGTAGTATATAATTGATTTCTATTTTAAAAAAATTACATTATTATTATTTTTATTATTATTGTAAATTTAATTTTTCAAATAAAAACTCGTTATTTTGTGAGTATATGCAGGCGGGTTGAGTACTGTACACTTAGTGCAAGCAAGTACTGTATGAACATAAAAAATTAGAGACATGTAAGTACGATTATCATTACTAAAAATGGTTCGTACAGTACTTGCTGCACCGTTATTTTATTTACTCTAAAATTTAATTTTTCGTATACATATACTTAAAATAAAAAAAAGTAAACTTTCATTGTTATGCCGATGGCGTAAAGGATTTCCTAAAATTGGCATTAACATATGATTGATTTATAGTTTAACCAAGTGAGTGTTGCACGCCCAGCCCAAATTTGGATGACTATAACCTGGAAAATTTTTTTATCGTTATTATTTATTTTTTTCCTATTTTATGCGAAATAATAATAATATTAATATACGTAATATGGCGTGTAACCCCCAAATTTTGTATGACCTTTAAAAATATAAAGGTAAAAAAAAATGTCATGCCAAATTAGAAAGTGCTATATACTTCTTACCAAGAACTGGAATAGTCTCTCTCTAGCTTTAATTCAACAGAGAGATGTTGATTAGTCATTGAGTTCCGTTCCTTTTCAGGACACCTATATTATTATGTTTATGAGTAGTGAGTGTCCAGGATTTTGTTGTGGAAAATGTTATTCAAGAATTTTATGATGCTCAAATGAGGATGAGGACAATTTCCTTTAACAATAATGATAATCAAACCCCAAAACCTTGGCTGAAAAAAAGGAATATTTTGTCTTGTCTGCTTCAATTTTAGACTACTTTTGCACTCCAATACTTTCTTGCCATTTTTTTGTCAGAGTCATCTGCTTCTCCCACGTCCTCTATCTCAAGATAAACTAAAAGCTTCCGTAATATACATGTGATCACTGTCTGTCATGAAGATAAAATGATAATGAGTCACCAGGATGTTAAAACACTTTTTGGAAAGATCAAAAAAAAAAAATTGCCTTAAAGTTAGCAATGGGTAAATGGGTCCAATGAGCTCAACAGGCTCGATAGTATGGCATCGGCTGATATAATTTGCGGTGGTATTGTTGCTCGTCTGAGCAAATAATTTTTAGGAATACCATAATCTATTACTCATTCTATAACTTCTCAAATCATCGTCTAAAAAACATTGCTCATGAGATATACTTGATATCAAACCGAATTTACATCTAGTATATACTGGTAGTATTGATGGAAGGCATCAACAACAGATTACTCAGAGTTCTCTTTTTGATAAACCACATAGCCGCGTCCTTGCTAAATCAATAGAGTTTTTTGCAAACCATGGTAACTTTAAGTGATCTTGCTCTTGTTTTCACTTGGATGAACTTTGACAGCCAGTTCCAAATTCGGAATATGGTCGTGAATCACCCTTCTGCATAGCATTAGGAAAAATTCTCCATATTTTCAAGAAATAAATTTACTTGCTACTACCATATTTTACATGTTTCATTTAGGGTTGTATCGGTCTTTGAAGGACCAGTCTTGGAACCAGTCTTTAACGGTCCTTGTGTAACAGATTCCAAAAAAATTATATTATGTTACTGATTAATTTTTTACAATAAAAAAATAATAGGTTAAGAGGATCAAAACTGAATAGGATGTTTAGTTTTGGGTATGATTTGATTATTTCTCAAGAAAAGTTATTGTTAAAGTACATGGAATTTTAGTTACTATATGTATAATGCTTTATTAGAGTACTGTCTGCCTCTTCGACTAAGTCTACTTTATTAACTTTGTATCTTGTTGGCTTTAATTGACTTTGTCAATCGAAGCAAATACAATGTAACAATAAATAAAACAATAAGACAATGTCGATAAGAGAGATTAATCCAAAGGGTATGTGTGTTGTGAAAAGTCAATAAAGAAACCTACACTAATTTTCAAAATTGGCAACTCGGAATCTTTATTTGCCAGATTCAAAAGGGAGGGTGATATGGTGCTATTTAATAAAGGCTCATCATTTCGATTTAGTCGAAAGTTGTAATAAAATAAGCCTTTAAATTAATTTTGCCAATGATTCAACAAGTAATTTAATAAAGTCTGATTTAAATAATCACAATTTTATTTTTAAAGTCATGGATACAAATAAAATGTATGATTAAATAATGATTAAGTTTTACGTTGTATTACTGTTTAAACATTGATCAAAGGTTGTCTAATAAAAGAAATTGTTTAAATAAAAATTCACATTTGTAACTATTTATCTTGCAAAATCAACAGCATAATCATCAACAACAATGCTCTACAATTGGGACAACCCCAGAAGAAAACCATGAAAAATCAATTTCAAAAATAATTGATAGTGAAGAAAATTTAGATAATAATAATGAAAATGATGTTAAAGCCAAAGAAAATAATAGTATTACGAATGGACCAAAAAAATGAATAAAGGAAAAATAACAATAATACAAAAAAAAATAAAAAAATAATGAATATGAATTCTATTAAATTTGTCTGTTTATGATTATTTTTACAAAATAAAACGCGTGTGCAATATAAACATCCATACATTTTATAATACGTATATATCACATAAATTACATTACAACAAAAGGCAGTGAATAGTTTACAGATCTAATACTAAGTATACTATTTATACAGTCGCGTTTACTTCGTCGAAAATTATTTCGTTGACACCCATTTCGTCAAAAATTTGTTTCATCGAATGTTCATTTCGTCGAATGTACAAAATTATTCATCCTCGAGCCAGAAACCTAAAGAGTTGGATGTGAGGAGTGTGGGAAGTTGGTTAAGAAATTAGATGAGGAAAGCGGAGTGTGTGAAAAGTGTAAGGAGAAATTTGTTTAATGAAGTTTTTTTTTGTGACGAAACGATTGTCGACGAAATGGGTGTCGACGAAATGATTGTCGACGAAATGAATCAGACCCATTATTCTTACATAACCAGTTATTGATTGTGAATAAATTGATATTGATTCTTTGAAATCATCTATAAAACTAGAATTTTTTTTGAAATAATAATGATTTTACTATTTTGAGTTTTCTAATAGCTGCTTGCTGAATCTAATATAAAATTTCCTGTTTAAACAACAAGAAACAAACTATATTCCCCTTGAATGAATATACTAATCATATATTTTTGTCATGGTAAACCTAATTCAATAGCATACTCGGTATAATTATGCAATGGTGGCCTATCCGACAACTCAAATCCTAATACTAATGTAATTTTGTTTTTTTTTCCGAGAAATCCTTAATTCTCTGCCAATAAACAATTAATTAATATTTTGGTGCTGTTTTCAAAGTAAAATGGATTTCTCCATAAAGTTTGGATGTTGACATTGTGACATTGCTTATCAACTAGAGTGCAAGTGTACAGTGTTTGATTTTGTTGATATTATTGCCGTGTACTGTCATGGCCAAAATAGTAATTTATTTATAAAAAAATGGACAAGAATATATATTACAGCGAGTGAAATCTATTATTAGGTTATTGTTGTAGAATTTTTCATTAATAATTCTTGTCCAACAAATTTAAAGCAGGAAATTGAAAGCTAAATAAGTCATTTGAAATAATACTTAATGAAAGAAAGCCAAATGAAGCAAATGAAGAGCAAAAAGAAAGAAACCTAAAATGAAATAAACAAATTAAAAAGTTAATAAAAAAGTAAAAGCTGAAATTAAGATAAAGTAAACTGCGAGAAATTCATTATTGAACAAAGACTCGCGATACCAATAATTGAAAGATAAGAGGATAAACGATTTTGAATGTCATTATGAGAAAAAGAAAGAGCGAAATTAAAAACAATCGACAATTAAATAATGACATCAACTGAGCTGCAAAGTCTATTGAGACATTTAAGGAAACGAGTGGACATTCTCGCGTCTGTTCAGTATATGACAATATGTTTTTTTTATAATAATAAAATTATTTTTATAATAGCTAAAAAAGTATGGTCAAAATAAAAAATAAATACAAAGTCTATAAAGTGTATATATATATATACATATAATATATAATTGGATTTTAATTATTTTCTAATATTCACAACAACATGCAACATCCACTACATCCAACGCCACCAACTCCAACTTCACCAACTTCACCTTTACTACTACTAATATCATCAATACCACCTTTACTACTACTACTATCATCGTCTTTACCACCTTTACCAGTCCTTTTACACAATATTATAATAGTGTAGATACATATAGATAAAGCAATAAATCCTCCAATACCGAGACCTACCTTTTGAACAGGAGTATATTCTACTTCGATAACTGCAACTTTAAACAACTGATTATTACCGGATGGTGATGATGTTATTGTATCAATATCTTTTCCGTTTTCTCTGGTCAAGAGTGGGTATGCAGTGACTTGTCCAACGTGTATTAAATTTAGAATGATTTTTATAATAAGCGATGGATAAATAATGTGGCTAAGTTGATTCATGACTAGTGTAAATTATGTCGTTAATGTATTTTTTTGTTTTTGTTCTTTTTTGTTTTTTTTTTTTGGTTTTTTGGTTTTTGTGGTTTTTGATTTTTTGGTTTTTGTGGTTTTTGATTTTAATTTTGGTTTTTAATTTTTGTTTTTTTGTTTTTTGTTTTTGATTGGTTTTATTTTTGTTTTTTAAATAAGAGTAACTTTTGACGACTTTCAATACTTTCTGTAAATAATCCAAGAGCGAATAAAAGAACTTACGATAATGTAATTTTAGTTGTTTTTGGACTGTGTGGATGGATAGTTGGCTCATAAAAAATTGGTGCAAGGAAATACAAAGTAAATATTTTTTTCTGGTTCTGATACACAAAAAAATAATACTAATACAGTACATAAAATCCAGGAATTACACAATAATAATAATACAAACAATACATACATACCAGCTATTTCAAAAAACTTTATCAATAATTGAGAACTCTGTCCGTCCAAAAATGGATATTTCCTACCTTAGTATTATCCTTATCCTTTTTTTTTGACAGAATAATAGTAATATTAAATGTATTACGCAACCGTAATGGTGCTATGTCACAGTCTGGGGCCATATCTCATAGTTGCAGACAAATCATCCCATTGAGAAAAGAATGGTCATTTTGTTGATATGTGTCCAGGGCTGGAAATAGGATTTGAAAAAAAAAAAAACGGCGGATTTAAGATATATCTTTGTTAATAATAAATAATCACATGACACATGATTACTATTAATAAATTTTTTTATTCAGTTTTTACCATTTTTGCTTAGTTGTCTTTATATATATACGCGATTTTAACTTAATAGTACAATACTTGTTTCCACAACAAGAAATCCACATTTATTATTTTTTATCTATATAAACTTCAAATTTTCACAAATTTTTTTTTTGTAAATAAAAAAAATGACCGATTACAAAACAGTTTTTCGACCGTTTATTGATTTATTCAATCAAGGACAAGTACAAACCATTTTGCTAGCATGGCTTCCAACAAAAATGGAATCATATTTACCCGGCATAATGGCTGTAGATATGTTTTTAACAACAATAATTGCATCAGGAATAACAACTGTATTTGCTGCTTTATATTTATTTGTTATCAGAATTACAACAGGAAATTGTTGGAATAAAAACATAGTCAAGGTGCAAATTGAGCATTATGTATCTGGAATTTACGGTGACCAGCAAACCAGTACATTTTATCTGGCCATATCATGGATAATTTCTCAACAAACTAAACAATTATCGAAAGGTAGTTTCCTTGTACAACCAGTGAATTCCATCACTAAAGTTGATCCAGATGATGATTGCGAGCCTCCTGGTTTCAACATATTACCCGAAAAAAATCAAGTGGTGTCTATTGATTATAAAGGAAGAAAATTCGATATCACATATAGCATCCCAGAATCTGATACCGAGAACAGAGAAAACGGTAATAATGGCAATTCATCAAACATAAAACAAATGCCATCAATTTATTTGACAACAATGGAAGATTCGAATACAAGTGTTGATGCAATATCAGACTTCCTTAATGATGTCACTAGATCATACCTCGAATCACGAAAGAAGTTACGTGTCAGATCAAGATACGAAAGATCCAATGCGTATTGGCATAAAGTACAAGCATTATCGTCAAATAGAGATTTGGAAACAGTTGCATTGGAAGAAACACAAGAATCACTAATTAAAAAAGAATTGGAGACGTTTACATCTGACAAAGACTTTTATCGAAAAATTGGTATGCCATATAGACGCGGAATTTTGCTTTACGGCAAACCTGGAACAGGGAAAACAAGCTTAATAAATGCTATTTCGTCATATTTAAATCGAGATCTTTATTATCTTAATTTAAAGAATATGAGCGATGATAATGAATTGAATGCAGCATTTAGCTCTCTTCCTGCCAATCAGATCATAATATTAGAGGATATTGATACTCACTCAAAAACTTTACACAAAAGAGAATTCGAAACAGATGATATATCTCAAAACAGATTCAAAGAAAATAAAAATAACCTTAGTGGGAAAGTTGCTCCTAGATTTTCAGGCTTTAGTTTATCAACATTCTTGGATTGTTTAGATGGTCATTTAATGCCGGAAGGTAATATTATAATTATGACAACAAACCATGTCGAAGTTCTTGATCCAGCTTGGTAGGCAAATTAATCTATTAATTTTGATGACTTTATTTTAAAGTTAAAAATTAATAGACAGACTGATCAATATCATTTTTTATTTTCTTAGTATTAGACCAGGTCGTATGGATTTACATTTGGAATTAGGATATTGTACACATTATCAAATCAGGAAAATGTATAAAAACATAACAGAAAATCCAAAAGCAGAATTTCCGCAAGAATTTCTTGATAAAATACCCGAAAAATTATTGCCACCGTGTGAAGTGATGATGACAATGCTTTTATATAGAAAAGAAATTGATATACTACCTGAAAAGGTGTTTGAGTTGACTTATAAATATCAAAATATGAAACCAGAAGAAATCGCAAAACTAATGGAAGATGAATTAAAAAGAATCAAAAAAGTATCAATTAGCAAAGATAATTTAAATGATGAAGCGAAAGAGGAAGCGAAGGAATCAACAGCAGTTGGTGGTGGTGACGACGACGACGACGATAATTTGAAAGCTAGAGATGGTAAAGATAAAAAAACTATTGATGATGATAACAAAGATGAAGAAGGTATGATAGAAAAAGAAGAGATAGAACAAATTGATTCGATAGAAATGACAAGGGCTTCAAGTGGTGCTATTACATGGACAAGCGATGATAGTGATAGTAACACTGATGTAGAAGTAAATACTAATGAGAAAAATGTTGTTAAAATATGATGAATTTGAAAAAACTATAATTTTTTTTAACTTCATTTATGCTTGTATATAATATATATACGTTGAGCATTATTCCTAAACCTAAATTTGTAATTATTAATACTTAAATTAAAATAAAAACTATTAATACTATATAATTCTAATATTAATAATCTTTCAGTATATAATAAATTTTTTGAATTTATATCAGTTTGTAGCTTCTGTCCTCATATAATTCGAGAAAAATATTTTTTTTTTCATTAATCATTAAAATTCAAAATTTTGTAACTAAATATTGACTAAATTGAATGAATGACCTTACACTCATTAGGAAGTTAAAGACTCACTCATTATTCAACATAATAAAAGTCGCATATTGTTGTTATGAAAATTTGATAATTTAAAATATCAGCCAATTTACACCATCTATAATTGATAAATTTAATATTTTTTATTAATATTCCAATTTTTGGAATAAATTGACAATCTTATGCTCATTAGAAAGTTGAAGTTTCATCATTCATCATACTAAAAAATCGTATATTGTTATTATGTAGACTTTAAAGGTTGTCAACTGCTCATGTTCAAATTCTTTGATTTTTTAATAAAATACTAAGCTGATTGAAATGAAAATACCACTATTGGGATGACCTTCTGCTCTGATTTATACTTACGTGTGTTTGATAAATTATTGTTATACTTCAGATTTGACTCATATAATAAAAAAAATCAATATAATTATTTACTGATTTATTATATATTAAATACAATATTAAATATATTAATTCATTAATGTAGTGAGAGTCCTTTTAACCCAGTAAATTATTATTATTACCTTTAACTTTCTTAGACACAAATATATCCATTCATAAGGTGATTTTATGATGGTGGTAATAGTTAATCCGAAATTCACTATTATAGTTGAATTAAAAGATATATAATCATGTATTTTCTTTTATGAGTAAAAAATATAATGTGAATTTTTCTATTAATAAAGAACTCTTCCAATAATTTACCAGCAGCTATTCTAAACTAAGAAACAAAGCTTATTAGTAAAGAATCACTAATTTATTAAAGAAGTATATTATTTACTACATTTGAGGTGTGGATCGTAGAAGTTGACCTTGTTTCCATTGTCCACGCCTCACCAACCCAATGATGTAAATATTATTTCTAAAAACCAAACGGTGGTTCCTTGTTTATGTTTTATTAAAATTACAAGTTCAAAATAATTTGTTATGACATGATCAAGAATTGAAGGCATAACTTTCAACCAAAATTTTTCAAGGAGAATTGCATGTCACAAAATACACGTGGTGTACTGGTGACGAATAAAAAAAGTTCCTTCGATTTTGAAAATCATTGATATTAAAAGATCGACAAAAAAACAAGTAAAATAAATATATACTAAATGACCATTATTCTGGCAAAATTAACCAATAGATGTGTGAAATAACATACCAAATAACATGTTCGTTTAACATTAAAAGGCTCTTAATTAATTGAAAAAAAATCTTTGAAAGATCAAGGAGTAAATAAGTAAAAATAAACATGCTCAATGACCATTACCCTGGCAAACTTAACTAATGGATGTGTGAAACAACATATCAAATAACATGTTCGCCTAATGTTAAAAGGTTCTTCTATTAATTGAATTCTTTTTTTGAAAAAAAAATCAATAAATAAGTAAAAATAAACATATGCTAAATAATCATTATCTTGACAGAATAGTTCCATGAATGTATATTAATCATAACAAATATCTCCAATAAAAAAGCTTCTTCTACCATTTCTATAATTTTTACTAATATTAGTTCTCATTAAGTTTGCTAAAAAAATAGAACTGTAAATAAAACTTACGATCTATGCCTGAAATCATTCTCTCGGGAATTTCTACATTATAATTTGATAGTTTATTCAGAAATAGTAAAGATATTATATTAGACCTAGATTTTTCTCAATAAAAAAAAATTTCTAAGTTCGAATTCGTTATTTTGGCAAAATTCCCACATTATTTGTCCACAAACCTATTTGCGTAATAGTTGTCATATAATATTTCTAGTAAAACTCTTATATAACATGAATTTTGTGATGAGATATGATCGATGATTCTATGAAGATTTTTCCGTAGAGGATTTTTCGATTGCTTTGTTTTTAAGAACTCTTTTGTTGTATCTGGTGGTCCACAATCACTCACTCCGACACTCTTTTTTCCCGAGATGGTTTGTTGTACCATACAATCCAGCTACTCTTTTTCACCTTTACACCTCACCATATCGATGGTAAGGCAATCGAAATCCATAATTTTATATATTTTAATTATTATATAAACGTCACACTTCATTTGTACAATTTAGAATTTCTTAGAATACTTATTGATAACCAGACTTTTAATAGTCTAAAAATATTGGCTAGTTACGGTGTATATTAAATTATTATGTAATAATAATAAATATATATGAAAATAAATTTGCTTAACAATAGAATGATTTAGTGTATTTTCTACGTGAATTGTGTATATAAGATAGATTTGGTTTATCATGCTTTATTTTTTTGGGCAAGGGTTTACACCATCAAGCTCAATACAATAATTTTGATTATTTTCGTAAGTACGCGTTTTAGTTGTAGTTGGGTTGGATTGAATGTATAGTCAACAACGAATCAACTATATCAGCACCTGGTACACAAATTACATTTATAGTCCCCATATTTTCCACCTGAGAAATCGCTGGTAAAGGCTACCTCGCCACTTCGTTTTGTACATGGAAGTTATCTACATGTGCGTTATTTGCACGCAAGTTATTGGGATAGAGAATAACAACATGCTGCTATTTTCGAAAAACAGCAAAAATATATTATTTAAATCTCTCGAACTTTGATTTAGTTTAATGGCAGACCAGATATGATGACAATGACAAAGGTGAAGAAGGCAAAGAAAAGAGTATATTTCATGATGAAAATTTTTGCGAATAATAAATCTTTACGGTATACTTTTACCGAATTTAATTTGTATTTATAATGCTACCTTACTTATTCAGGTAGATATGAACCGAATTGGACGATCCCAAAAAGATCCGAAAAAAAACATCAATTCATATCTATTCTCCACGAGCGATCACTTGGAATTAGCATCTTCCGGAACCCAGACTCAATTTTATTGATTTCTATTTAGCAATATCTTCAGTCGACTAGATCCAGAATTAACGTGTACAGGCAAATTAATACTGATAATTATAGAAGAAATTATTAATGAATAGCTACTTGATGATAAAGACGATAATACTGTGAAACAACAAGTCAGGAAACACTAAATTATAATGGTTATTATTATTATTACATCTATACGTCATATTTAACATAATAAATTTTATTTATTTGCATAATTTATTTTTAAAACAATTAGTATAATTGGCCCACAAAAATATTCCATATCTGGTAAATTTGAAATCAATGATATCATATTTATATTATCTATTTTTAATAAAGTTCATCATTTTTATCAATCTTGACTAATAGGGAAAAAATGTACATGTCGCGTTATATAATAAATAATTAACTTTTAGAGACTATTAAGAAATTAACGAATGTTTGACATTTTGCTTCACATAATAATAATAATAAATATAAATGTCGAAAATCGTTATAACGAGGGTTGAAAATCAATACACACACTCTTACATACACGAACTGTCCTTTCTTTTGGCATATTTTTTTTCAGAGTAAACAAATAAAACTCTTAAGAAAGCCTTAACATGAAGTTAGGGCTACTTTGGAGTTCTAAGAGTCAATTTCAACCTTGTAAATTTAGGCGCAATAGTTGAATATTCTTTTTTTTTTAGTATTTTGAAATAATAATAATATTAATTGTATCAATTTTATCAGATAATGAATGCAAAGATGTTGATTTTATACATATTACTGCATTTACATGATATTTTTTTTTTAATTAAAAATATTCAGCCAAGTGAAGGCAAGGATTGAATATTTTATATATAACTATTAATTATTTTACATAATGATCTAATTCAGGTTCCTATCCATTTTATTCTGCTAGAGAGATTGAGAAACCAGTCACAAAAGGACAGTGTTCATGATTGCCTCCCAGATGAAAAATTTAGATGTAAGACCCCACATTCCGGACATGCCGGGCTTAGTAATACAAAGAGAAGGAAGTAGCCATCGGATGCTTTCCAAAGACACAATTCTGTTGAGAAGAGCTATCAGGAAGGGCACAAGAAACAAACCAATAATAGATCCCAGCTTCTGAATTTGCGCCTGGTTCATTTTAGAGGATTTAGAAACTTGGATTTCAACAAAAGAAAAAATGGCTTAATAAGGATGATAATAACAATAACAATGACAATGACAATAACAACAACAATAAGAGTTCATGTCGTTCTGATTAGAGAACGTAAGCGGTGAGGCATAATTTCAATATTTGAGAAGATACTTTCCTTCATGAGATAGAGTATAAATATTATAAATGATAAATATGTCATTTTCTTTCAACATTCTAAAACTATTAAACAAACCTGAAATATGAAATAAAATTCGAGTAAATTGATTTCACAAAAACACAGAATTGCACTTTAAGAAAAGAGTCATCGTCATTCATTTGATTATTTTAGTTTTGGTTGGACTTGAAGACAGCCCTCAAAATTTGAAGAGTGAGTTTCTGTGATTATTTTTTGATCAAGAGATTTGGAATGGAAAATAAACAGCTTCTTCAATATATATTTATTTAAATAATTTTTTTTTTTGTAAATAAAATAATAAAGGTACATCCATTAACCATTCCCGACTTATAATAAATAATAATAAATAATGATAATATTAATATATAGTAATAAAATAATAAAATAACAAATTATAATATAAAGAAAATCAGCCTTTTCTAGTCTTGATATGAATTTTTATATCTACAGGTCGCCTAGTAGTAGCAAACACGTATTTAGGTGCAGCAGTTTTTTTATCAACTAATTCAATATCAAATGTGCTAACTAATTTAACCAGATAAGTTTTCATTTGAACCATGGCCCAAGCACGGCCAGGACACATACGTACACCATTTCCAAAAGGTAAATAACTATATTTAACTATTGGTTCTTTATTTAAGAATCTATCAGGGTCAAATTTTTCAGGATGTTTAACATATCTAGGATCATTGCTTAAAGACTTCAAGTCTGTATAAACCGTTGTATCAGCTTTAATTATAAATTCGTCAAATTTTGCATCTTCGACTCCAGCACGACCTATCATTGGTATTGTAGGGAAAATACGAATTCCTTCATAAATTACAGCTTCAATGTATTTAAGTTTTTCGTAAGATTCGAATGTAAGATTAGGATCATCAAGTGTGCCATAAACTTTTATTATTTCTTCTCGCATTTTCAAGTAAACATCGCGATGCTTGGCGATATAGTAAGTAATGAATGACAAAGTATTTGAAGTAGTATCCAATCCACCGGTATATACCTCACGTAGTATTGAACCTAATCGTTCATCTGTCAAAAGTTTACCCTTATCTAAATCTTTTTCTGTGTTTGTGTTAGGTAATAAAGTTAAAATAGTTGATTCACGAGATTGACCCAAAACAGCATTTTCCATTTCCTTTCTTTTTTCAGCAACTATTTTTTCCAATGTATTATTTATCCAATCTCTATTATCCAAAAATTTTTTATTTAAAGTTTTGAATGGAAACTTTGTTCGGATAAATGGTGGAAGTAACATCATAAAAAACATTGATTCATTGTAGAGATAAATCGATTCAGCAAATTTTACACCATTTTGCCAAATTCCTTGTATTTCGGCTTTTTTTCCTTTGATATTTAATTTATTAAATAATTCTGCTGTTGAAAACATTTTTTTTCCCATTGTAGTCATAACAACAATATCAGTTCCTAAAGCATTCATCCATTCAGGAATTTCAACTTGTATTCCTTCTTCTTCCATAATTTTCCAATATTTAAAAACTTCATCATTCATGCCGGTTGATATTTTAACTGCTTCGCGTAAAAATTGTGGCGAAGAAATTTGAGACATAAATTTTCTATTAGTGGCCCAACTTTCGATATCTCGATTGAATAGCATTCCTTTTGTGCCTAATCCAAGCTCAACAATACCTTCAGAATATGAATTACGCAGAATGAAGTTGGTAGTTTTAATTGATAAAGGTCCCCATATTTTTTCTGCTAAATCAGGTCTACTAACTACAATATTACGCTGATTTCCCGTATAAAATTCAAATATCTCTCCATACTTTTTGCGAAATCTTTCTGTTGCATCTGCAAGATCTCCTCCAAGTTGATGTATATTTCCAATTACGGGTAAAGGAAATGGTCCAGGAATTTTTGATGGTCGATTAAAATAGTCAATGTAATATTTTGCTACATATGTTACAATTGCTAGAAGAAGAATCGAGAAAAAATTATTTGTGGTAACGTTGACTAATTTAAATATTACGAGCGCAGCAGACATTTTGGAAAAAAGTTTTTAAAAAGTTAGGTGTGTATATAATAATAATAAGAAAATTGGTTTGAATTTCGTGAAATATGAATTTTACTTTGATAAATACTTTACTTATATACATATATATATCTTATCGGACCTTTGACCCATTAAAAGAATGCTATTCAAAATAATAATTGATTCGTCCCCAAAATGGATAAAAGTCCAATTATATGCAATACATATTTTATGGAATTTCCTAATATATTTATGTGTGAAATATAAGTAATTTTATAGTTGACTAATCAATTCTTTTTAAAAAAGAAGATCAATTTATTACCTTCTACCATGTGAATCATTTTTCAATGTTGTGGTATATTGCTCAACTGATCTTTTTCCTTTAGGGTAGGTTCCGTGTTGTGTCGATCGTTATAATTAAGTTCTAATAAGATACAGGAACAACTTTGAACCTTATATATCAAATTCCTCTTTGTTTTTAGAAAAAAAACGATCGACATTATATCTTTAATACACATTTGGTACGATTTTGAAGGCGTGTTTTAACATAACTAGATATTCATTGTCTGATAGGTAATTACACAAGATTCTTTAACAAATGATTGGTATGTTTTTGTGTAACCGTTACTAATATTAAAATAATTATAAGGAATGCCAAGGGCGAGAAAAACAACACGACGGTCAGAGTTCTTTCTCACTCATATGGAAAACTGCACGCGCTTAGACCGTTTGGAAATACCAAGCAATTCGATTGATTATTGGACGAAAACTTGTGGATGCTAAAGTGTATTATTACTTGGGTCTCAAATATTTCATTACCCTCGCAAAAAATCTCATCAAGTTTCTCCCTAAGATATGAAATTTTCAGGGTGTGACGCATTGCATCATTGTCAAAGAGATGGCTAAAGCCTCTTTTAGTTGTCTGAAGCCTTTTGACTTGTTCAATTTCTTCACCTGTGGGAAAAGATTCGATAGTTATGATGTTTGTAGGAAGAGTTTTATAAATCCGATACCCGTAATCAATATCAGATTATTTAAGGAACTCTTCAACTTGTATACGATTGGAAAGCACATGTACAGCACATAACACGCACACAAAGCGACACATGAAAAAAAGGGAAGACTTATCCATTAAAGTTTTCCCATCACTACTTATATGACATAGTGATGGATCGCCATCTTTCCTGAATGGAAAGAAGACTCGAATAAAACCCAGCATAAACATCATGGGTTTATTCTCTACCTTTCAGTACACACTTGTGATTGGTCATTCATAAATGAAATTACCACACATCTTTGCTTGTGTATGACTTCCCAAAATTGGTTCCTTAAAAGTTTTATTTCTGCATAGTTTTGTTGTTATTATTATTGTTACCAATTTTATTTATTTATTAATTTTTTACAAGAACAATAGTATCAAATATATTGCATGATCATTATTAACATTGTAATAGACATACACAACAATGAGACAAAGGTATTATTCACGCACAGGGAAAGAATAAGTAATGTGAAATGTATGGGACGGGTAACTGAAATAAAATCACAGTTGTGAAGTGTATATAAATGTAACAAACTCTAAATATATGGCTATATTTTTCTTCACATGTTAGATTCATTTGTTTATTTTTTAGTAGCAAGAACCTTTAAAAAAAATGCAATATGGATCTTAATATATTATGATGATTATTTTTTTTTTAAAAAAAGAACAAGATGAAATTAAGTGACAATTAATTCACTGCCATCATTTGACAACTAAATAATTTGTACCAAGATTTTATCAACATCCCTCTTCGATTCATACATTGATTACTGACTGCCTTCTCAAAACTTCTTGCTGGGTGTCATAATGATCAATGATAAAATTATTAGCATTGACTTCAGATGAAACCACTGCTGTGTATCCAGTCGTGACTGGAACCCCTTCTCGAGAAAGAGGTAGATCCCGGTAAACGTCAGACACAGGAATGTTGATTGATAATTTAGTGCATTGCATGTGGTTGGAATATTGGCATCTTTCAAATTCTCACTATTATATTTGCAAAAAAATTCACTCCAAGTCTCTGCGTTTGATCACAAAAAAAAAAAAAAAAAAATACAACGCCAGATCAATCTTTACCGTCAACGGAATCAATGCATCTTGTCTCCAAATTTTTGCCTAATATTAATAAAATTTTTATGATGGCAAAACAAATAACAAATAAAAAACATTGCAGTCATTGAATGATCATGTGAACTTTTAGTATTCCTTTTTTATGAAATTTAGTTCCCAGCACACATCACACATATGGCTAGCTGTTGAATCTAACCCTGAAATACTATGTATGCATGTGGATTCCCCTACATAAATTATATATTATATTAATATCAGGGTATCATATCAAGACAAATATGCTTCAAACTCAAGTACATTCATATCACTTGGTGGAGCCATGATATGCAAAACAGCAGGTCGAAGGAAGTTAGGTATATTGAAAAGAGATCTCAGAACATGGGATGAATTTGATACACTGCTAAATCTGGGGCAATTCTCAGTCCGTTTCCAGTTGGGGAGTAATGAACTATATGTAATATGTTTAAAAGTTGATCGAGTTGATTGTAAATCAAGTATCAAGCAGACTAGTAAGTTCTCCTACGTAGTTGATAGAGAATACTTATTAGTGCATTGCAAGGCTGAAACGACAGCTGCATAATTTGTTGTAGTCGTAGTCATATCAATAATGAACACAACACATATTTCATTTAGAAGTATACAGTCCTAATACAAGGGTAACAATTAACAGATGGAACAGTTGTATGTTGACAAAAAACATCTTTTCATTTGATAAAAGTCGTCGAAAGTTATGAAAGTCACTTTCTTATAGTAGTTGATGTTTGAATTTTTTGCTGATGTTGCTGCTGCTATCGAATTTGTTAAAGTAGTTGTTGCTGTTGAAATTATTGTTGCTGTTGAAGTTATTATTGTTGTTGAAGATTTGCTGAAGTTATTGAGGTGGCAATGTTGATGTTCTTAAATAAAGAACTTCATTACCTAATAAAAAGGAACCAAATCATCTTTATAATAACATTTTTTCATTCTAATTCTGGTGCTTTGATGCAACCAAAACATTCTAAATTAGGATAACATATTTTACTCCTAAAAGAAAAATAATTTTGTTTTTTATAGTCAAATTAAAATAATTTCAACCATCATTATGAGATAGTAAATATCATAAACTAGATTGACAAGAATACAGTCAATTGATTTCATATTATTTAATAATTTAATTTTATAATTTTTGTGACTATATTTGCACCATTGATATCACCCACTTTTTCTTGTCGTTTAATCCTATTCTCTATTTTATTGCTAATTCTTCTTATCAATGATTATACATACTTTTCTTAATATTGATTTTGGCTAATAACACTAGTAGAATGATACTGATTAGGTGTATAGATAACTTTAATATCAATTGGACATTAAAAATTTTTAGTTGACTTGATCCTGATTTAATTAAAGAGGAGAAATTACCCTTCTTCGGTTAAAGCATGTTATGAAAGGTGCAAACGCATCACTTCATTCGAACAAAAAGCAGACGGAGACTTTTCTGTGCGATTAAAGAAATCTTTTGTAGAAGTTGGACATTTGGAGATGAATGGCGGATACAGCGGCAAAGATCTCCCTTGATCAACGTGGGATGGTTGCTGTAAATTGTCAATAGGCAATTCATATATGCTGGAAAATATTGGGAAGGGATTTCGAGGAGCTTCATGTGAAACATTCTCAAAAAAATTTTCTTTGCATACTTATGGTGGGTATTTCTTGAGGTTTCCTCCATGATCTATTGTTTGAATCTTTACATTTCATAGATAACCGAATTGAGTTATAGAGGATGCATGTTCTATCTCGCGACGTTCTACAATATGAACGAACACATAAAACAATAATTCCTACTTGTTTCGAGGAGGAACGAAAATGTTTTTTTGATTTCTCTGTTGTCTTGCGAATGCAATTTCCTTTGACTGATGTTTCTCTGTTATATTTTACAGTCAACTTATCTCCTCAATTCATAGTGTTGGTTGCTGGAAGTTGTCGAGGTTATTCATAGACTATAAGATGAATATAATGGTTCAGACATGAAAGTGACCAATCTCTCTAGTACTCTTTCACCACATCCATTTACACCACAAACAAAAAAGGTTTACAGCTGCTTATGCACATGGCGACCCAAATAGCTCCTCCATTAGTTATTAGATTTAAAAATAAATGAATAATTTTTAATTTGTGTCCCATTTCTTATACATATGGCATATCATACACTAATAGTCAAGCCAACATTTTAAAAAAATTGTGAGCATATTTTTTTTATGTGACTCTGCTCCTTCACATATGTTAATAATCTGATTCATATTTTTTATTCAATATTGAGCAAGCCTTCTATATGACTTATCCAAGACATAAAAAATAGATATTGAAGAGTATAATTCGTGGCTCCAAGTATTTTGTGCGCTTCTCAGTTTTTTCTTGGATTCCAACCAATATTTGAAAAAATTTTGACACTTTTAAGAATTTGATTTTAGTCCGTGGGTAGAATTGAGTCATTATAATATTTAATAATTACGAAAATTGGAAAGATTGGTAATTTCATTGACTTTTTTTTTATACTTTTTCATTATCATAGGTCAAGATAGAAGAATCAAGGAACTAACGTCATTATAAGAAGATTTTGATTTATAAAAATTTGTTGAGATAAATTTTTGAGAATTTTTATTATTTAAAGAAATGAATAATTTTCTTAAATTTTTCAATGCCCAAAAATATTTAAATATTAAGAAAAATTTGTCAACTAAATGGTTGGTTTAAATGACATTTCTTGTGTTTTTTTTTCAAATGCTCAAGACCAGGATCTTTAAACAATTATTCTTGTGCTTATTATTTATTGTACTATTTGTTTTAAACACATATTGTGCTTGAACATTATCAATTCGTATTAAAAAAAAACCAAATTAGTCAATCTTACAAATTTGAAGATTATGAAGACAATAATGTAAAACTTAGAATTTTCCTTATTTATGCATTTTTCTATTATTATTTGAATTAAAATAAAAATAATTTTCTTTTATCATTTAAATGGCGACGTTTGAAAAAATCGAAAATGAATTAAAGAAGGTTAAGAAATGGTTCGAAGAAGCAAAGGAGAAAAGCAGGAGATGCTAAACGAAGTAAAAAAGAAGCTGAGAGAGTTGAGTAGAAAATAAGACGTGAAAGGAGGAAGAAAGAGAGATTTGGAGTTTGATTAGGATGATTTGGAAGAAGGAAGAGATGGCTTGGAGAAAGAAAAAAATAAGTTGGAGGATACATATGAATGATTGGAAAAAGCAGATGGTTAAATGGAATGAAATATATTAAAAAGTGACAAAATATATAAAAAAATTATTTCCTATATATATGATATTGACTAGCAGCAGATAAAATGTAAAATTATCAAAATGTGTGTTTTATATAATAAAATTACATGGCTGATAAACGTCATAAAATAATAATAAAAAATATAAATAAAAAACGTAAATATGAAACTTATCAAACTGACCGGAAGATTATAGGACATAATTATCATTAAAGAACGAATTGCGAAAACAGACTAAAATCAATGGTTCGTCAAAAACGAAACAACCTTGTACTCTATTTAGGCATAAAGGAATAGAGTATTATGTCTCATGACATTTCCCTTTTTTTTTTTTTTTTGATCAGCAGAATCTCATACACTTTTATTTGGAAAGTAAAATTTATATAAAGTATAAAATACATTCTCTTCTTTTGTATATAAATTAACTAAGCTGAAAGCTACCATTAAACTCGCTGCTCTTGAGGGGATAGTTCCCCTCAAGCTAGCGTGTCAGAGACCTACCATCATCAATTTTCTTAGAAAAGATGGAAAAGAAGTCTTTTCCATCATCAAGGAATTCCTCTATATTTTTATTTATAATAATATATCTAGATTTTTCTAGATTTTCTTTTTCATTTTCTATTCTAGCTTCCTCGGAGAAAGGCGTGATTGTATTGTGGAATAACTGAACGTTTTTACGATCGATTGTGTCCGAATATTAATATGGTAACGTATATGTTGTGCGTACTTTTATGTAATATTATTAATAATAGATGAATATACGAGACTTGACACGGATATAAATGATAAATAATAATAATAATACTATTATTGATCAACATGCAACACTTGTTTCAATGAATCCTCTTGTATGCCCAGTCACTTCGTTGTAATGAGATCATACTGTATTGGATAAAACATTAAACGACACATTCAAAAGGCCAGATTAAAGAAACAAAGAAATCACTTGCAAAGTTTAAAGTATACCATTTCCAAATACGTCAACTGAAAGGCTTCAAAAAAACATGCATGGCCTGTGGATGATGATTATATTAATATAGAAAAGCCTACGCCGCCTAGTTTAGATTATACTGGTGATGGTATTGGAGCATACAAAAAACGTGTTTGATAAATTTTGATAATAAAAAATCTGATTCATTAAATCTTCAAGTCAAAAGTAGAGGGCTATCAAAATTCGCAGTTGGATATATCCTTGGTAAACGAAAAATTCATCCAACTGGTTTAAAAAATTTATGTTTGAATATAATCAAAAATTAGATAACGGTGAAAACTGTACTGCAAAAATTGAGACATCAAGTCTAACTGGTAATATCATAAATAATCAAATCTAAAGATCAACCATGTTTAATTTTCCTCATTTAGTTTGATGAATAATTAGTGAATTCTATGATAATTCGGATTATTCTAGTACTAAGATTATTTATTCGGATCATCCATTATCCTATTTAACAGATGTTTTTGCATGGTGTCTATTGTTGTCTACCGTTAGGTCTTCGTCTTTCTCTGACGTTTCGGACCATTTTGAAATGGCCAAAATCTGATGAACTTGACTTGGGAGTAGGATATTAATCGATTATACAAAAATCGATTTTTCTGTTCGATAAAATTTTATAAATCGATTTAATTGAAAAATCAAGTGTATGAGAAAGAAAGAAATAAATTAATAAGTATGCAAATAATATAATAACAATAATAGCAGTAGTAATAATAGTAGTAATAAATAATAATAACCATGATATAGTATATTTGAAACAACTTTAATATACATATTTCATTAATAATATAATAATAATAGTATAGTAATATCTGAAACAATTTTAATTTTAGAAATCAAAATTAAATGCCATAACTAACAAACAAATCCATTTTAAATGTTATAAGCATAATAATAGTATAATGCAGAAAACATGTATGAATTTTATTTTCATACTATGGTTGGCTCGGTCTAAAGACCTCCTATTGCTGCGCCACGTAAACAAATTTCAAAAATAGCGATTTCGTGATTCGTTCAAAAATGCAATAAAATTTTTTAAAAAAGGGTTTCACGTGATTTTGGTTAAAAAATTATTTTCCTTACTGCCAAATTTAGATATGATGGTCGAGTATTAGTCTAAATTTAGTAAGGATTATCAAAAAATAGTCTAAATTTAGCAATGATCTTAGTGGACAAATTCCTCACGAGCATAGTAAAGTACATGTTTTAAAAAAGAATAGAACTCTACAACAAAGAATTTTTTTGAGAAAATCTCCCTATTACATTAAAATTAAAGACCTATTCTATCAACTAATAATGCTATTTTTTTAAAATGTAGGACAGAAAATGACTTCTATACTTTTAAAATTTGCTCAAAATTTAGGAGGTCTTTAGACCGAGCCAACTATAAAATAGTGTTTGTTTTGTATAATCATTTTCCTAAATGCTTTGTTTCTCTGATACTAACAAATTTATAATTTTGGGTAGGGGACTGGATGGGTTTTTGCCCAGATTAAAATCATCACATGATTATATATATATTTGTCAGCAATATGGCCAACAAGAAAAAAGTTATAAAATGGTTCAGATTTTGTTTGGTATGTTCCATATAAATTAATTGTTTTCATAATTTTTCTGTTTCTCTTTAATTTTTATTTGACTAACTGAACTTGTTATTTAATTGGGGTAGGGTTGTTGGTGAGTTGGCATGCTACCAACAAGCAAACACCACACAAGCACCAGCTATCAGTTATCAATGCTCATATGGTAAACAGCCAAGCCTGGTACGAGAGGGAGATAAGAGAAAGTTTTGTCTAAAGCCTTCCGACATGTGTGATGGACTTTATCTGTAGGAAAAAGTCCTATTGGTTATAAGGGGTATTCGCATGTTAGTGATAGGAAATTTTTATTAAATCTGATACCTGTGATCAACATCAGATTTATTATAAGGAACCATAATTGATAATCAGGAAAAATAATTTATTTTGTGAACCCTAGAGATCTGGGTAGACAGGCATTATTAAAGCTTCATTTATGCATGGCCTTGGTATCATTACTGCTTGGGTGATGCAATTGTTTGTTATGCCAATGATTATATCAAATACATTGAATAATAATCATGACCATTGTGAATATTTGTTGGATGGAGGCATTCATATACAAGGAAATGATTAAATAGCTAAGTCATGTTTGTTTTATTAAAGACATATGATTAATTGTATTTAAAATATACAATAAAAAAATTGCAAGACTGCACCACTATGCCAATCAAACTATCAGGCTTTTATGTTTGTGCATGTTTTAAAATTCTTTTGTGCTAATTTAGAGTCCATCTTTCTTTGCTTATTATATACCAATAATTCTTTTATATTGTAATTAAGTTATTGGGTTAAATATTTCTAAAGTTCTTTGTACTAAAATAATATCATAATCTTGAGTAGCAGTTAGGTTTCTATTTGAATAAGGTTTACTTGAATAAAACAAATAAAACAAATAAACACATAAAATGAATAAAGTGAATAAAATGAGTAAATTTGAATAAAACACACAAAGCAAATAAAATGAACAAAACACATAAAATGAATTAATGATGGTGGCCGAAATTATTTTAGAAAATCCGAAATAGTTTTGCCCACAGACATTGAGAGTTTAGGCTCCTAAACTAGTGGCGAATCTCAAAAATTGCCTAAACTGCAGGCAAAATCCTAAACTGTGGGTGAAACTCCTAAACTGTCAAACCTACGATTAAAAAATTCATAAATAACTTTTACATATATTAATTAATCTATATAAATTAATTTTATTATAAAAAATATTTCCAAAACAACTGAAAATCAAAAAAAACTTTCTGATATGTACAGCAAAATAATTATAAAAAAAATTTTTTTTTACAAATTGGAATAATGTAATGCTGCTGTCATAAATGATGATGCCAATTCATTTGAATTATATTCTTCCTCCTCTTCATAATACTCATCATTAGCTAATATGTTTTCTTCATCATATAAATACTCAGATCTATTTTTATCATTATCATCTAGATCTTGAAAATTAGAATGAGATAAATCCATTGTATTTTGAATAATTAAAATGTAAGGTTCTGGAAGTCCCTCATTAGCATTTATATCATTATTTTCTTCTTCTAATGAAGACTCTTCTATATCATCATCATCCTTGACATCATACTCATTATCATCTTGAGCTGCCAAAAAAGTATCCAATATTTCATTTTCAGAAATATTTTCTCCTGCTATTTTCAATTCTTCCTTGGCAATTTGAGACATAATAACCATGAATTTTGGCTAATGCTTCAACATGCTCAGTACTTAAATTGCACCTTTTTTTCCCATATAGCCATCCACAAGTTGACCAAATCCTTTCACAAGAAGCTGCATGTGGTGTAATAGCAAACAATTTTTTAGCCAATTGTTGAATATAATTAGGTTTTATTTCAATACATGACCACCAACTATAAGGAGTCATTAGACTTGGATCATATGGAATGTTATAAGGATCCTGATTTCCTTTATAGTTTATCAATTGACTCATTAAAGCTTTACCAGTTTCCAACTTTGAAGGAATTTTTTCTTTTATTCCCAATTTAATTTTTTTCTTTGAACTTTGATTCAAAGTCATATCTTTTGTATGTGATTTTTGTGAATAAATATGATCCCAAATATTTGCAGCAATTTTAGCAACACGATGAAATTCTCCAAATTTAATACCAGTGCCTGTTTTCAAAAAGATAAGTAAGAGGTAAAGAGATAAATATAAAAATAATCAATCATTTCTTAATTTTTATTTATTTTATTTATTTACCTCTGAAACCTGGATGTAAAAAATAGGACAATAAATACTCATCAAAATCAAACTCCAAAAATCTTTTGTTTAAATTATTAATACAGTGATTACGAAAATTTTGATGGTGTTCAAGTGAAAGCCTATTTACAGAAACTGCAAGTTTGACCAAACTAAAATAACATTCACCTAGATTCGCAGTTCTGCTTTCAAGCTTTATTATGAGTTCTTTTACTGGCTTTACCACCATAATTATGTCATGTATATCTTCATAGAACCCTCTTCTTTGTAGTATCACTTTTACTGAATTATTACTGATAATATCACGATGATTCAAAATTATCTTTACAAGGTAAATATAATTAATTAAATTATATTTAATTTAACTATTCCTTATAAAAATTTTTTTAAAAATAAAATATTAACTACCTCTTCAAAGCAAGGTTTTAAACGTAAAATCGATGCTAAACATTCGTATGTGGTGATCCATCTTGTCTTTACCAAAGTTTTTAGACCACCACCTTCGATGCCTTTTTCTTTAATTAGTTGATTCAGTAACTCTCCAGGACGGTGAGATGTTTTAAAAAAACTTGTTAAAACTTTGCAATAGTTAATTATTTTTTTTGGGAAATTGTGTGCCACAATATCTTTTGTGATCAGGTTCAAGCAATGAGCAACACATCGAATATTCAGTATGAATGGAAAATCATCATGAATCATTTCCCTTGCTTTTTTAACATTTGCTCCACCATCAGACACAATGGCTACAAATTTATTGATTCCAACTTCTTCAAAGATACATTTAATTTGTTCACAAAGGTACTCGCCAGTGTGACTAAATGATGATAAATCCTTAATTTTATATAGATGTTCTTTATGATCAGAGGTAAGGATCACAAAGTTCCAAAGAGAATTATTTCTTGGGTTACTCCACCCGTCCAGGGCTATTAAAATAAATAAAAATTAATTTAATAAAAATTAAATTATAATTAAATTTATATAACCACCCAATGTTAAATTTTTGCTGTTTTCTAAAAGCTTATTCATTTTAACAGTGATTCTTCCCAATTCTTCATTAATTAAACGATCAGAAAGCATTTTTCTGGAAGGAGGCTTGTATGCTGTTCTCAGCTGCTTTATGAATTCAATAAAGTATGGGTTTTCTACAAGTTGAAAAGATAAATTACAGACAACAACAGCTTTGGTTAAAGCTTGATCAATATCTTGTTTTCTTTTTGTTGTTAATTTGGTACTTTCAATAAAATCCTCTAAACCAGTTTGGTTTGATGGTCGAATTCTTCTGTTAGATTGATTTACTGACTCATTATCACGTTTAGAAATAACCTCAAGAAAGGCATATTTAACTGAGTCATTAACTGCTGGACATTCAAAAGCTAAGTGATGTTCCATCATAGTGGGAGAACCCTTATTCCAATGCTTTCCACAACTTTTACAATCAGCAACGTAATGACCAGAAGAAATTTTTATTCCTTTATTAAAGTAATTCCATACTACAGCATGTGGACATCCACCTTTTTTTCTTTGTGTATCTATTTCATTATTAATAGGTGTTAGAGAAAGCAATGGAGGAGAAGATGAAAGAGAATGTGAAAAAGATAGAGGAGGCGAAAGAGAAGTTTGTTGAGTATTAGAACTTGAAGAATCAGGTGTAATTGGGTTTGACATTTGTGAAAATATGATAAGAAAAAAAAATATAATAATGTGGGAAGATAATAATTAATTTTCTGCATGATTGATTATCATTTATTACAGAGATGACAATTAGGAATTCAAGTCCCAAACATTGTTCCAAATGGACAAAAGAACGAAAGAATTTGTGTGTGTTTTAACAATGCTATCAAAATCCTTTTAAAACCATATTTTTAAAGTTTAATTAATGAATGAATGTATTTAAAATAAAATAATGAAGAAAAAAAATTTATCAATTGTGTAGATTTACATAATAAAATTAATTTAACACATCCCTATATTGTTCTGTTTTGTCTATCACCACCATTAAAAAAGCAAAAAATAAACAGACAAAGTTGTAGTTGGACATTGACGAGAAAATGCTTATTTAAGAATCCAGGTCATTACATGAATAGTAGAAATTTAAACACTAATATTAATAAGTTTTGCAGTTTAGGAATTTCGCCCACAGTTTAGGAGTTTCGCCCACAGTTTAGGAGTTTCGCCCACAGTTTAGGAGTTTCGCCCAAGTTTAGGAGTTTTGCCACGGTTTAGGAGTTTTGCCCATGGTTTAGGAGTTTCGCCCACGGTTTAGGCAATTTTTAAGTTTTGCCAATTTCGCCAGAAAAACTTCATGGGCGAAACTAGGCCTAAACCGAAATTGCCTAAATGCCTAAACTATGGGTTAGTTTCGGCCACCATCATTA